ATCGAACGTCCTTGCTCGCTGGAAGCCATTGGCATTTGCGAAATTCATTGACAGCTTACGTACTGAGGCACTTTGCCTAGGGGTTTGTTTGTGACGGCCGCTTGCACGAAACGGTTGTACCGAAGCGGTCTTCCATCACCTCGTTTGCAAACAATCTCGACACTGCCTTACGGCGATTATTCTCGAAAGAAACAACATTATAATGCAAGCCAGAGCGATACCATAAGTAAATCATGATCTTCATGGAAGGTGGTTTCGCCGAAGAAGTGCTCGACTCGGAACGCTCTCGGTTGGGGACCACGATTGATTATATTACATGCCTTATCATCAGCTGGTGACGCGCTCTGATAATCCAGCAAGAGTGTTTTACAGATGTAATAAGAGCGGTTAGAATAAAAAAGCCCGCATTTTCGTTCGTTGTTGGCGAAGATTGTCTTCTCACAGGCAACAAGGGTATGGATTGCAGCTACGCTAGACAAACGTCGACCACAAGAAAAGATAAATGATCAAGCTTAGTAACGTCTGCCTGGTAAAGAATGACAACCTTCGGAGGTTGAAATAGAACTTCTTTCGCATGGATGATCGACATTCCGGTTAAAACGGAGAAATCCGAACGTACAGAGTAAAATTTTCCAATGGCCATGTGTTTCGCCGTATAATTTAGGTGCTATGCCTAATGCTATGTTTAAGATATTTGATAATCTTGAATGCAAATAATTGATTTGTTTTATTAAGTGGAATAGCACTGCTGCATACCAAGCTGATGATAATTGTTGGCCCCAAACAAATGTTACAATAACATTTGTGAGACCGGGCCGTTTGCCAATGGGCCGAGCTATCACGTACTTATTTTATCTTGAATGTGAAAGCTTGTATTATGATAAAAACGACTTTTGTGCTCCATGGACTTTACCTAGCTGCTACTCGCCCATTCGACACCACCTGAAACGAAAAGCAGTGAGGATGCGACTAGTACAAAAGAGTTCGAGGGTCTACAATAGCTCGGACAACAGCGATACACATGCATAATGCGCTGTGACTGTTAATGGTGAGTTTAAAATTCTGTAGAGTGAATAGTGAACAGAGTTTCATAGAGTAACCACAAAAAAAGAGCCATGTTAACAATGATCGATTTAAGCGCCAAAGAATCTTGTGAGCGTATTTCTATTCAAAAGTTGTGTCAATATACCGTTAATCCGACAATAAAGTGATTCTTTTTTCGGTTGTCCTCGAGTAAGAAACAGTTCTCTTAGCATCACTGTTTTAATTAGGTAGATAGCGGATAAATTTCTATTACGTCCAATCCGATCTTAAATTTCTGACGGTCATCTCTTGACCTTTAGGTTTTCATAAATTTGTGATTTCTTTTATTTTTATCAAGAATTTAATATAATTGCTTTTATGTGAATATCCTAAGCTGTTCCTCCTCTGTCCAAATAAGCACTTCTTAGTTCAACAAAACAGAATGATGTACGTGATGCAATTATTCAAGGATATTGTAAGCGAAATCTGCGCGATATTTAGGCACTTCAGAAAAAACTAAGGCAGTATCTGGTGAGTACATCATATATATTTATATATTTTCATTTGAAATCGGACCAACCTCGGGCCGTTCGTCGCAGCGGGAATAAGCTTATCTGATATTCTTGGTATCAGAAAAAAAGCTTGTTCTTGACAACAAAACAAAGTCATAATAATGAAAATCGATGCATTTTCTCGGAATTTGAGCCGAAAACGAATATTTTCCAATTTTTTATGACAGACCATATATATCCACCAAAATAAAAACAATCGACGTTTGGTTATTATGCGGCTTCTGAAAAAGCAGAGATGCTTTCTGTGACCCAAACTGGAATATCTTTAGTAAGTTCTGGGCTGGGAATTCATAAAAATGGCTGAAAAAAATCATTTCTAATATATCTGATTTTTTATACAAAAATCAAACCGTTTCAGAAAGAAGAATAAATTGTCAAAGTCACCTAGCTGAGCTCCAACATCTAATCTTTTTAAGATTCTTTGTGCGTTTTGGACTTTTTGTCGTTTTGACTCTCTGAGCTCGTAATACTTTTGGCCTACTACCAACTTTATTTCTGCTGGATTCTGCGATGAGTAGCGTATCTGAGCGACACTTCAACAAGTTTATGCCTACCAATATCGCCTGACACAAGGTTACTGTAACGTTAGTTAAACAGGGAATATTTCGAAAATGACTGAGTGCTTTGTCTCGAATTTAGGTTTTGTGTTGATTAGTGAGTTATAGGTTATAGTGAATAACCATGACCATTCAAAATAACGCTCCTAACCTATGCTAAAAAATTAAGATTTATAAAGCTAACTAAAAGTTGATGTAAAAATGTGTTCATTGGATAATGTCTTGTTCTTGTAGCCACATCAAGTGGCAGCAATGGTTCATTTCAATCTCTACTATCACCTTATTTTGGATTTGCATACGCACACACAGACACGGTTCCATCCCCCTAACAACACTTATCCACGGAGTTCCTTAAAATTAGTTGTAGAAGACCCTGATCCGTTGCGAGTCAGCTACTGTTCTATCCAATGGTACAACTATCCAAGTGAAGAGGAACACCGTAGCAATGCCAACGTCAGTTGGAAAGCCCACACAGATAGTGATGTTTTGGTGCCCGCTCCCCTAAACCCTTCGCTTCGCGGAAACTACAAAAGGTTATTGAAACGATAAAAAGAACGAATTGTTATCTATACAACTGGAAGACTGTTAATAAGTCTTATAGATCGTTAAATAAGTGTTCTCATGGCTACTTTGACATCAGTCGCAACATGTGACAGCAGATTAAGAAACAGAAGTACTGAGCTTATTCAAGAACCATATCACTCATTCGAATCAAATAAAAATGAACTTTCTAAACCAAACATTTCGATAGTACACGCATACAGCGGAATTATGAGAGAAATATTCTATATAAATTGGTAGTTGTGGCGAGCCTGTTGCCACCGGGTTCACGCGTGCAGCTTCAAAAACCATGTATATATATATAGATTTGTTCTGCATAACATTCGGTTACACAATATGCATTGGGAAGCTTTTTTGGGAAGAGTTTTTGTTAGCCAGCAGATTATTCGACAGTACATTACTTCATTAAGTTGAGATGTTGTGGAAATATGAGCAAATTTGGAGTTCTGGGTTCGCTTTTGATTCTTATAACTGTTTGAACTGACATCGAAGGCGTGCACTCACAAATAGAAGAAAGCTCTGTTGTTTTTCGATATTACGTTAAAGACATTGTGTTTTCAGTTATGAAAGACACTAAGTTACACGGCGCGCAGCAATAATAACTTGCTATAAGAAATCACCCTTCAGTTTATGATGTTCACTGTAAAGCTTATTAGAATAACCTCTCGTTGTTGTCGGAACGCGAACACTTTTTTTCACTAAGTAAAGTGATATTTCAACAGTGATTTGTGCTATGAGCTGTTTGGAGGACAATCGTTCCTTTAAAAAACACTGCGACGTAGTTTTCGAAATCTTGCGCTCTCATTTTCTACACGTTAGCTGAAATTGACACACAAAATAGTTCTCGCAGATTTTAAGCTTTCAGTGAGATGTAAATATGCGCAAGTAAAGTACGAAATTTATGCTATTCGTTTGAAATCAGCAGTAAATAAGAGGATCCTAGGAAAGTTCAGAAGTAAAATATTTTCGTGAAAATCGAAATTAAATTGTTAATCATTTATTTAGTCCTTTCTTTTTTAAGTTCCCTCAACTGTAAGTGATTTTACTATACATATATTCTTTTTTACCATTCTATTTTGATAAAAAATCTGGAGCTTTATAAATATAATTAACACATTTAAGTTTAATTGTCCTAGACAATTTCAATGTTCTTGATCACAGAATTGATCTTCATCATGCTGCCTTACAGAAGGCGCAAATATACCGCCTGTTTGACATAAAAAAAGCTCTTGATTAAATGGAATGATTTTGTTATCAGCAGTGCCAGCCAGTCTAAGTGTGCAGTGCTGTATTTGTCAAAGGAGGAAACAGCACACACATATACATGGTAGTAGCGATAGCACCTTTTTTCTGATGTTGTCATTCGTGAGGATCACACTAAGTTTTGGTAGTGAAGTATGGCAGGCTCACTCGTGAGCGTGCAAAACGTCTTGTGAAAAGATTAGTGCTATCTATTCATGTAAAATTCCGTAATACTCATTTATAGGGTACTACTAATTAAAGTAGTATAATCATTCCTGCTTTTTGTGGTGACAATGTGTACGTACTTGCGCGTTCAACATATTTTCTCAAACAATGTGGCCGTAAGCGTTTGCAAGGTTTTTAAAGGGGGCGTTTTAATAAATGTTAACGGAATGATTTGCTAAGAATGACTTGGCGTAAACAGGAATACTGCTGTCTGTGCTTGTCGGACATAACGATGATCAAGGTTTTTAACACTACAAAAATGTATAAATAGGCTTATGCAGGCCACACATAGATCAGTATGAGATATTTAGTGCTGTTGCTGCGAATATCGTTCTTGTACGAATATAGCCCTGACCAATTTATCATTATTGTAAGAGATCACAAACGGGCGTATTAGACAGACAAAGTAATGGTGAAGAAAAAATGATTTAGCAGAAGCACAGAGGCGGTATCCTTTGATAATAAAAACGAGGTGCATTACTTGTATAGTTACATTTCCAGAACATTTTAATCGTTGGTTAAAAAGGCGGAAGGTAACGAGTATTTAAAATCTAGCAAGTTCTCAAGGCAAAGGTCTCAAATGGTACAGTGAAGGTTTGGGATCATCGATATTTTGTAGAACTAGGGAAACTTAAATTTTATCTTTTTAGTACTAGCGAACTTATTTTTAAAACAAAGTTAAGATGTACAAGGAAGACGGGATGCAAATAGCGCGCGTAATGGACTAATAACATAATGTAATTGTGGGTCTTTTTACTGCACTAAGATATTTCATAAATCTACATAGAACCAATACTGTTATGGCCACATCAAATTATACGCTTCATTCCTGCTAATAGTCGCTCTGCAAATACCTATAAGAAAATGTATAGTGACTAACGATAGATATGCCGGATTCCGACTCCGATGAAAACAGATGAAGCTAATTCTACACTAAACTTGCAAAATGTGCATTAACCATCAAGACTTGTTTATAACATTACGTTACTAAGAAACAATAAAAGAATCGGTATGGTTAAAATCCCTAACAATAACTTAGCTAATGCAGTGCTAGTGTTCTAGACATTTTCGAGAGCTGAGCTGTGACAACTATTTTAAATATTAAATGATTTCATTGGTACAAGTTATTTGTCTAAAAGAAAAGTCTCTTTTTATTGACACTCAAACCTTCTGATGAAACTCATGTACAGATGGCATAAAAATCAAGAGTACATAACATTGCTACTTGAATTGCTAAAGGTATGGCTGTAATTGACCGCCACGGTAAAAACATTTGAACAAAAGCTGCTGCAAAGCATGTAGTAATCAACAACCTGTTTGCTTGGTGTCTTAGCCACACTCATTACAAATCTGTGGTACTATCAAAAGAAAATTGGTTTTGTATACGGCCACAATTCTATGCGATGTTTAAATAATTAAGCAGTAAGTAAATAAAGAGATTCGCAAAGCGCTGACTTATAAATGCAAGTAGTAAAGGAGGACACCTCCTGATAAAAATAATTAAGCAAAAAGGTTTTTTTGTTTACTTAGTTCAAAAGTAACATTAAACAACGTAAGTTTGAATGGGATATCCATGTATAGGGTGCGTCAAGACTTATGACAATTTTCAAGAGCTCTCGTTGATGAAAAAAGTTTTTTGAATAGACTCGGGGGCGTCAAGGTACTGTTAAACAGCACTTCTTGTTTGAGTGGATAAACCTCTATCCATATGCTATTTTTTCATTTTCTTTCATATAAGGGCTACTTATTGCTTAGGCAAACACTGAAACAAGGTTCAGTTGTGTAGAGTCACAACGTCCGTTTTCTATAAAATTAAATATCTTTGTAAATTCAGGAACGATATCACCTTTTAAACACTGAACCTAATAATATGTCAACAGATATTTTAAAATCAAGACCCTAGCCATCATACACACTTGATAAAAGGCACATACTGTCTTCAGTATTGGGTATTTCCGCAAGTTGTTTTGTGACCAAGTCTTCGGTACGCGAAGTTCTAGCCGTAAGAACAACTAATATACTGCATGTTGAAGCTGCTGTTCCGACCCATTTCAGCCACAAGGGTTCATCGAGTTAGCGTAGAAAACTCGTAGCTTGAACATCGTAATCGCCTCGCTTGTTTAATTCAGATTTACTCTTTCAAGGGTACATAGAAAATCTCCTCTACGAAACGCCTTTTCACTCTCCTAAAGATCTGCCTGCGAGAGTCCTCTCCACTGTGATAGTTCTTGCCAGCTATATATGGCTGATACCTTCAACAAAACAAATATCACTCCGTTTGCTTTTCATTTAGGCATCCGTTCGGTATCAACTGTAGCTATCTTAACCATCTGTTGTGACAACATTATACATAGCTAAAAGATCAACTGCTTCTTGGTCCTCTGCAAGATACTTAATTGTATTAAGAAGGACGTTATAACTTTTTTAATCATCATTTATCAATCAATCAAAATGTAGAGAATTATTTTGCTACTACAATTAGATATTTGGTGAATAATGAACAACAAATGAAAGAACACTATCGTAAGTGTATACATGTATTCTTAAGTCTACAGTCCAAAAATAGTAAAACAAGCTTTGATAAACCTCGAGCACCTTTCAAATGGTTTTTATACATTTTAAAACGTCTTGTATAAATAGATTAATATATCCAAGGTTTTAGAATATAGTGATTGTCTTAACAAAAGTTACATATTGTATATATCATTTTTTTTCCAGTGGACAATGGTTTTATTTTTATTGGTTGCAATGCGTGATAATAAGCTATTTGCGAAAGCTTTAATAAAAAGCTAAAGAATATGATCGCAAAATTATGCACTTTGTTCCTATCTATATACTAAGTGCCTGCGATAACAAATAACACCAAAGTTAAAAACCAGTTTACGTTTTTAGCCATAAATAATACTATTAAAGCGACTACGGTTGTTACTGCTTATATCATCTGGATAACTTGAGCTAGCAGCGCGTATTGGTTTTTGTTGCTTCGTCGCTTTCTTCCGTGCCGTCCGTACTGTCTGAGTTGTAAGTGAAGTACGTTTATAGTACAGGTTTGATGATAAGTGGCAGTGCTTACAACAAAGACAATAGAATTTAATAAGTTTCAATAAGATTCTCAACACAATTAGATAACATTCTCAATTCAGATGCTTAGTTTCTTGGCATGTTTGCCAAAGGATAGATATTTCATGCATGTTATTGATAGTTTTGATGATAGATGCCTTAGAAGTTCCCTAGAAGCGAGATTCATTCGTTGTTATAATTACGATTGCCGCGTGATAATGTTGTCAAGTAGCGGGTCGTCAGCCGTCTAGCTAACTTTCACGATCCAGGAGACAGCCAGAAAATATTCCTACAAATACTAAATAATGTCTTTGTTGAACATTGCACTGGATCACTGAACTCTTTCACTTCCTAATTCACTGACTCGCTCGGTCCTCTACTCGTCCATTCTTCTATAAACGGATCCATATGACCAACGTCATTACTGCACGTCTACCCAGCATATACCCGAACGAATTCATTGAGGCGATTCGTGGTTTAGGTATTACGGAAAAAGGAACGAAGAAAGAGTGGACATCGACCGTATACGGGTTTCATAACATCCTACGCATAATATGTGTAGTAACATCAAAGCAACTTCTTTCAGTTTAGAGGATATGTTCATTCCATGCGAACAAATCCTCGGAATCATCGACGTTTAAATATAGCATCAAACACTTGCCCCCCGTAAAAGTCTAATCGGAGTGGATCTCTCTGTACTTCCTGGAGTTCTTCCTATTAAACGGTACGATCTATTAAACGGTCAAGTAGTTCTAGTCGCGATAATATAATAGCCATGGTTTTAATAATATATTATCTTCCTTACTTTTCGTTCGTTGAAATTTTTTTTTATTATTAATATCTGGTAATAATTTTTAATAACGCTGAAATTTGAATCATCGTAGCAGCATGCTTGCTAGTTATGGTTACGAAAAAAATGGTCACGTATTAAAAAATGCACATTAGGCGTTTAGACCACGTCGCTCCTTAACAAAATATTTATTAGATAGAAGTCAGCAGAGCAGGAGAATAAAAATTGTTAAACAAAAACGGCTCCTTGTCTCTCATCCTTAGCTTAATTATTATAGTATTAAGTACGCTTACGGCGTATTTTCTTCTTACCTGCTCTTCGTTATACAAATTATCCCGGCAGTAAATAATCGTAAGGTTATCTCTCAGGAAAAGCGCTGTCATACACTTCGTCCTGAACAAGGCACTCTGTGCGCTACGATGCAGTCCTCAGGTCGGCTACTGACGCGAGAAACGAGGTATGGTAGATATTCGCAAAACATTATGTATGCCTTATTCCTCTATGTAAACAAGCAAAGCGCATTGTAGCATTGTCGCCCATAAAAGTTGCGTATTGGGAAATCCATATAATATGTCCATCATAAGGAAAAGGGATAAACTGATGGCTTTGGTTTACAGAAGCTTTAAGCATATTCTTATCAAGTGCTGTCAAAAAAGATAACCGTAAAAGGAAAACGCTTATTAGCGGCAAAAATTTATATATATATATATATATATATATATATATATATATATATATATATATATATAGCAACCTTTTAAATGATCTGTTTGGTACCGTATCGGAGTATTCATCAGCAAAATTATACATAGCTGAAAATAACATTAAACAAAAGTGGTCACTGTCGCCAGTAACTAGAGATTTTTAAAGGTGAATAAAGTATTTTTTCAATTATCTTTCATCGTTCTTATGCACATTAACTACACTGCAAACACTACTCAATCAACAACCACCCCATGTACATGTCTTATCCCCCATGCGACTCACCCAACTTTCGCTGCTTTAACCAAATCAGAGCTCTAAATCCTCTTTCAACTGGACAGCCCTGAGGACAACATGGTAATGGAGAGACGATTCCAGGAATTTGGACGAGCCACACAAACCGCCTATCAGCGACGTTCGATGAGAAAAATGCTGTGTTTAAGCGAGAGGAAAGGCTTTGGAGGGGGACTAATGGGAGACGCGATTGGATGAATTGCAACGAAACGCTTCGGGTGTTGATAGTCAAATGAAGGCAGGGAGGGGTTTGTTCTTTTGTTTGGGTACATCTTTGACAAGACATCAATTTTATCGTAAACGTGCATTCGAAGGAGTCCCCAGGAACCCTTGTATAAACACTTGTAGATTTGCAACTCCTTAAGTACACGAGAAAGAACCAGCAGTATTTTTCATTACTGTGCAGTGAAATAAGAAAGACCTTTGTATTTTATTTTGGAACTCCAATGTGTCCACTTACCGAAGTAATAATATTTTATTAACTTAGCTTCTTTGGCGCCAATCCAACGTTTTGGATTGACAACCAACAACGTTTTATCCCGAAGCCTCCCTTTGGTCTAAACTATGTCAAAATCAAAGCCTTTATTATTCCCTAGGAACTACAAATATGTTCAAGCGTAAGAAGTGTTTGTCTACCACTTACGCTTAATTGTACTTTCTCATCCTGGGTATCATCTGAGCATTGATATTCAATAGTTTCGGTCGTTAGCTGGTGTTCACGGAATGCTGGCAGTGATTCCTTTGTCCGTCAATTAGTCAGTCTCTTCTTTCTTTTTTGTTACACTTGATACTTGGCCGTGTTATCCATTTGCGCGCCGCATCTTCCTCGTTCGCGCTAATCTGAATTTCACTTCCGGTTTCGGATTCACCGCTAAATGACTTTAAGGCGGCGAACAGCGTGCTGGTGCATGCACTCACTTGCCGGGTTTTCTGATCCACCGCACTTCTCCGCTGCGCTCGGCGTCGATTCCCAGAATTTAAGCCGCTCTCTGCTTGGACATTAACAACGACAGTTTGCTCACTCACCCTATCCTGCAAACATTAATTTCTAAGAACATTGCTCAGACTCAGAGACAGTGGCGCCCTCCGTGCCAAACGACAGCAACCAGTATAAGAGCGGGACGGTTTAAAACAAACTTGCGAAAAAACTAATTCATGGGAACCTTTTGGTGTAGTGCACAACACTTTTTATAAAACAAAGCATTTCCGAGAAGTTGGTCGTATCTCTGTGATGTAGTATATATAAATCAAAGAAATAAAATGAATAACGACGTGCGAAGCATTCTTGTTATGTATTGGTGGAAAGGGGAAATTAGGCCAAAACTTTTGAATGTAGGAATAAAAAGCTCCTAGGCGCATGTGAAGTTCAAGTGATACTGTTATTTACCATTTTATCTACCTCTGAGCTGTATAGTTTCTGATCGTTTTAAGCAGATCAGAGCAGAAATAAGTAAAGCAAACAACAGGGTAAACTGAGAACTTGATGATGAATGAATTCAGTGACCACCTAGTTCAAAAATTCTATTCGCTTTCCTGCCTATTGTCCCTCAGTCCTTTTTCTTTTTTAACTATTGGAGTAGCCGTTGCTGTCAGTACTGTCAATCAATACCGTGCCAAGGCTACACTTCCCATCGAGACTTCCATGCAGCATATCTAAGAACATCTATGACATGATAAAGTCGTAAAACCTTTCACAATGACAAATGGCTAGCAGTATATTGCTACATATATTCAGTTTATATTGCCTCTCTTTTTAATCCTCTTTATTTCTGGCAAAAACAAAAACGAAGGGAGTAAACGCCATAATGGCCATAATGGTATCAAAAGAACAGAATTACCATTCTTGTCGACAAACACTTACCCATCAAAGTATCTAAAATGAGTGCGAAAGTAAAGCTTACACGACCAAATATTGCTCTGCATTTCAACAAAATTATAACCAAATATCAATAATTATTGATTATTTTAGCGGTGATGCTTCAGTACCTGACCACGTTTTTGAAAGAAAGCGGAAAAAGTAGCTGCCGTTAAGTTCTACCGGCGAAAATATACAATTGAGACCCAATCACGTCTTATAGGGATTTTTTTGATGTCCGTTAACGCACTCGCATTAATATAAGTTTGCCGGAAATATCACGCCCATTTCGCGGCAACCCAGAAAGAGTCGCAATAAAAAACGCTGCCCTTAAAACTAGATGCAGCTTTGCGTCCATAATATTACTCAACGTTCTTTACTCGAAAACTTTACACTTCGGTTAGCACAAACCTGACAACAAACAAATATTTTTAAACAATAGCTGCATAAGCGAAGTAGAAGATTCTTGACGTATTACAAACAGAGAATGATGGTTGATGCCCTGCAATTAGGAACTTCGCTAAAAGCACACAGGTTTTTCACGGAATACACATTTCATTTAAGATTGCTATCTAAGGACTATAGCGCCATATTATTATATACTTAATAGATACTTATAGAACATTACAATAACAAGAATTTATAGAATTTAATAATATAGAACCCAAAATTACATTACTAAAAATTTCTAATATGTTCAAAAGAGAACAGAATAACTTTGTTGGAGTTCTAAGCATATAGTTCATTAAGTTCAAAGTAAGGCAATTTTGAACAGCTCTTACAATTCTTAATTTCCTTTTACCAATCAAATATATTAGAATTAGTAAATTCTCTTAACTTGGTTTCTTTTCAGGCAATGCTAGAGGGGTGCATAAAGAAAAAGCTTTAGTTTAAAATCACGGTAGCTATGCTATCTGAGCCACAACTGCATATCGATTTTGAGAGAGAAATGTGTAGTTTTTTTTATCTGGGCTTGGGGTATGTTGCAAATGTGTTTTTTTAGCCCTGAGAAGTTAATTTTTTTAGCAACATCTGATCAAGCCTGCATTATACAGTTGTGAGAATGTTAAAACATCTATATATATATATATATATATAAAAATTCTAATGAATTTTTATAGGACAAATCATGATGAAGTGGACAAGTTTGTCATTTTATCTTTTAATTATTGTAAAGGTATTTGATTTACAAATCACACAAGTAATTGTTTTTCGATTCCGAGCACCAATCATTTTACAATCTAATATTGTAAAGAAAATGCATGTTTGTCAACGTAGTTTATGTTTGCTATTTACAGTGTAGGTCACACTTAGATCAAGCATTATTTCACTCTTATCCTAGAAAGGATAAAGGCCGCTAATAGTCAGATCATAAGCTTAAAAAAGCCCGCCATGCCCGTCCATATTAGAAAAGCCTAACTAGTCGGCTTGTTGTGGACATCTAGTCGTTGATTTGCGATCGGAACGCCAGTGTGTGTGAACAGTTGTGCTCTGATGGCTTACTTATCTATTCTATAGCTGGCGCAGTCTTCAAAGGTGCGTAAGGTGTCATACGTGCGTGAACAGAAGTCATGTTGCCGTCAGTGCGTGTATATGTTTCTACAGACTGAAACTTCGAATTTGCTGCCACCAAAAATGTTGACTACATCGAATTAATAAACTGTACTTTGACGATAGCTACTGCTGCTGCTGGCGCTGTGGTGATGGAAATAGTCGGGGTCACACCGGGTTGAACTTAAGAGATGTTCTACTAGAAGCTTTTTAAAGAACCCATTGGCCAACGCCTGGTATGAGTAGCTCACACCTAGAGATGTAATTAAATAAATTAAATAAAACCCATTTTTAGTGCATATTGTGTAACATGAATACGTGACAATATCAATACCTAAGGCTGCGCAGGTCTTGTCGGTTAGCAGAAATAAAGGTTTAGAATAAAACCAAAGCAAGAAGATCGTTGGATGGTTATAGGCAGCTCTTTTTTATTAGAACTTGCACCTAGCCAACTGCAATCGTCAGTGCAACCATACTGCTGGTAAAAGCTAGCCTAGAGAGAACGAGTAACCATCGAATTTAGTTCAACTTTGGTTTTTACAGTTTTTTTTTTTAAATTGGCTAACGATTCACATTAGTTTGTGAAAACGTTCCAATTGTAGTCTGTTTTTACACGACAAAACATTAGTCCCTTCATCTTTCTACAGTTAGTAGCTGAAAAAGCTTGTAATAAATATAATATGTCGAAAAACCCGCCACGTTTAACTTTCAAACAATAATCGAGTTATTAGTTGCGTGTCTATAACGCTACCAGCATAGAGGATCAATGGAATAATTTAACGTAAACATTATTTCGCGTAAATTAACAGATGACGACGTTTAAAGATCCTTTCTATTAAACTCGCCAGCATAATGCGGGTAGGTACTTATTCAGCCAATATAAATATTTTAACGCTTTTAGTAGTAAGATGTTTACCTAAGAATTACTGAACGGGGCTAAACTGCTTGTTATAGATCATTTGGGTATTTTTGCTCTTTGTACGAAATTTGATGCCATGTGTCCTGCCTCTTTAGTGTAGACTCTAACTTGAGGTTTCAATACCATTATTATTATT